GAAATTCAATGTCTTGACAAAAGAATATTCTTATCGGCTGAAACTTTCAATATATTCCAAGAGTCAATAAACTTATCTATAGCCTTAACTTCAAATCGAAATTTTGTACTTTGTTTTTCTCGTAAATATCTAAAATTGGATAGAAACTTTTAGTAAATCGGATGATAGCTTCACTTCAAAAGCCTATCGGTACGAATTCTTATAGGTTTTTTCTATTCTTACCAATAATTTCTTGTTGATTCAATATGAATTCAAACAACTGATTACAACTTGTTAGTATAACGAAAAAAGTATTGAGATAATTTTTTTTTTACTTTAATTTATGTTTTCATTTCATAAAAACATTTAAATAGTTTTTTCTATTAGATGATTATTGATTTCGAATAAATATTTTTAATAAAATTCAAAATTTTAAAATGTTAGAAATTATTTTATATGACAAATTTTTAAACTAATTGAAAACTTAATTTTCTATAAAAACCAATTTACTTTAATAATATCTATTTTGTTAGTTTGATTACACTCAAGAAACAATTTTTTCTTTTTCTTTTACAATAACAACTTATTTTTAATCAATATCTATAATTAACTATTCTTTTTGATGTTATTCATTGAGTAAGATCATAGATATTGTTTTGTTTTAATATTCCCTCGAGATATATATCTAGAGTCAACATGAATAAGTTCATGTTTGTAAGGCATGAATTTTAATCGATAATATATATATATATATATATTTATTTATTATTATTATGAAATTTAATTAAATTCTTTTTTTCTTGTTTTTTAGCGATATCAAGTATGGATGGATTTAGTGTTGGTTCAAAACGACTGAAGGTTGAATTAAAAAAACCACGTCGTAATTCGTAGTATGAAAAAAAAGCAAATGTTCAACATAAATGAAAGAACAGTAATTAATAAAGCAAAAAAAAAACATCGTGTTATATCTCTATTGAAAAAAAAACACAATAGAATAACAAAGATCTGTAATATGAGTATAAGTTTTTAACTGTCTATTTCTCGTTTTCATTTCTTTTCGCCATTATTTCAGTTTTGTTTTGTTTCCTTCGAAAAAAAGAGAAAAAAAAAATAGGAATCGAACATATATACTTTTCTTTTGATTCTCTCTCGTGTTGTTTGTGTGTGTTTCTCAAAGAGACTTGTGTAGAAAAAAAAACTCTTAAAAAAAAGGAGAAGGAATTCCCTATATGTTTTGTTTATGTGTTTATGGCTCTCGATTTCTGTGTCGACTTTTTTTTTTGTGAGTTGCTGCTGTGTTCCAAACTGTGTTTTCTTTTTTTTTTTTATGCTGCCACTATTACTGCCGCCGCCGCTGTTTTTCCTTTATTTATTTATTAAGCGATTATGTGTGTGTGTGTGTGTCAGCTTTTATTATCTGCTGTGTGTTTGCGTGCGTGCGTGCAGTTCACTCATTTTATTTTGTTGTTTTCTGTTTCTTTTTTCGTTTATTAAAAAAAACTCCCTAATTTATTCACAACTTAAAAGAAAAAAAACCAACAGTTATATTATCTTTCTTTTTTTCGTGCTTGTGTGCTCATACCTACACGGTTGTTGTGTGTGTGTGGTTTTTTTTTCTGTTGATTATCGTTGGGTTTCTGGATGCCTATACTTTATATATCTGCGTGTGTATGTATGTTGTGTATGCTTATCATCGCCATCGGAAAAAAAAACAAGAAAAACCTAAACAATAAAGAAAATCCTTTTGGTTTTGTAGTAAAGCATGGAAAACAACAGAGATAAACTTTGTTTTGTTTTCTTTGACGGCGTGATTATTTATCTGTATGTGTGTGTGTGTGTATTTTTTTTTCTGTGTATCTCTGTACACGTTATTTTCAGTTTTGAAAAACAACATACACCAATGATATATAAATATGATGGTTTTTCTTTTTTTTTTGTTTGCAATGGTTAAATAAGTGATTTATTTATTTATTTATATGATGTAGAATGATTAAAATATTTTAGTTACACACAAACGAGATTAAGTATAGGAGATGTTTTCATTTTATTTGATTTAATATTCTTCAACATCACCAGCTTCGTCAGTTACAGTATCGATACCAACTTCTTCATAATCTTTTTCAAGAGCAGCTAAATCTTCTCGTGCTTCGGTAAATTCACCTTCTTCCATACCTTCACCAACATACCAATGAACAAAAGCTCGTTTAGCATACATTAAATCAAATTTATGATCAAGACGTGCCCATGCTTCAGCAATAGCTGTTGTATTTGATATCATACAAACAGCTCGAGGAACTTTTGCCACATCACTACCTAAAACAAAACGAAAAAGAATGATTCATATATATATACTCATTTAGACATAAAAAATAATTTGAGAAAAAAAGAAAGACCTGGTACAGCAACAGGTGGTTGATAATTAATTCCGACTTTGAACCCTGTTGGACACCAATCAACAAATTGTATAGATCGTTTTGTTTTTATAGCTGATATAGCGGAATTAACATCTTTTGGTACAACATCACCACGATATAATAAACAACAAGCCATATATTTTCCATTACGTGGATCACATTTAACCATTTGATTGACTGGTTCAAAACAAGCATTTGTTATATCTTGAACACTAAATGCTTCATGAGCAGCTTTTTCAGCTAAACAAAAGAAAAAACATGTCATTTCAATCTATTTCTTGAAACAGAAAAATAAACTAACCACTACAAATGGGTGCATAAGTAACAAGTGGGAAATGTATACGTGGATAAGGTACAAGATTTGTTTGAAATTCAGTTAAATCAACATTTAATGCACCATCAAAACGAAGTGATGCTGTTATTGATGAAACAATTTGTGCAATTAAACGATTTAAATTATGATAACTTGGTCGTTCAATATTTAAATTACGACGACATATATCATAAATAGCCTCTAGAATAATTAAAATAAGAAATCAAAATAAATTTTCTTATAGAAAAAAAATTTTTACAAACCATTATCAACCATAAAAGCACAATCAGTATGTTCCAATGTACAATGAGTTGTTAATATTGAATTATATGGTTCAACAACAGCAGTTGAAACCTATACATAAATATATAAATTTTTTAAGATTTCAATTTAATGCAAAAGATTTTTTAACCTGAGGTGCTGGATAAATAGCAAATTCAAGTTTAGATTTTTTACCATAATCCAAACTAAGACGTTCCATTAATAATGATGTAAAACCTGAACCTGTACCTCCTGTGTAATAACAAAAAACAAAATATTTTGTTTTTTGTTTATAAGTTTTCTTTCATATTACTAACCACCAAAACTATGAAATACTAGAAATCCTTGTAAACCTGTACATTGATCAGCTATTTTACGTAATTTTTCAAGTACAGTATCAACTATTTCTTTGCCAATTGTATAATGACCACGAGCATAATTATTTGCTGCATCTTCTTTACCTGAGATAAGTTGTTCTGGATGAAATAATTTAGCATATGGACCTCGACGAATTTCATCTTGAATAATAATAAAAAAAATAAAATAAAACAATTTCTATTTTATAAAATTTTCAAATCAATCAAAATTTCATATTTACCAATTACTGATGGTTCAAGATCAATAAAAACAGCGCGTGGTACATATCGTCCCGTTCCTAAAATCATATCATTCATCTTACAATTTTCAAATATAAACAAAAAAAAAGAACAAACTTTCTAACCTGTTTCACTAAAAAATGTACTAAATGATGTTTCCTTGGAATCTATACCATAAAATTTTCATTAAACTATCATTAAAAATATATGTATACAAACCTGAAATTGACTCTATTAGATAGAAAAAAGAAACAAGAAATATAAATATATATAATTTTTTTTTCATTATTATCTTACTAATAATATGACTACTATCTCGTTCTTTACTAAATGTTCCATCAGGTTCAATGCCATGTTCTAGACAATAAAGTTCCCAACAAGCATTACCGATCTGAACACCTATTATGTATATTTTATTAATAATTGTATAGAAAAAATAAACAAATAATAGAAAATAATTATTACCAGCTTGGCCAACATGAATACTTATACATTCTCGCTAAATACATACAAAAAACAGATATCTAAACATAGGTTTTCTAATTAAGATGTATACACACCATTTTAATGATAATCCTGAATAATCAAGTGGAAGAAAAGACAACGGATGAGAATACAGAAAAAAAAAGGAATAATCTTTGCGACCGATTGCCTACACCAAATGATAGATAATACAACTATTCTCTTTGCAATCGTCGTCTTTGCTTGATGTACATTTTCTTCTTTTTCTTTCGTGGCACCCACATTTTTCTTTCTGCTTGCCTACTGAGTTTTTTTTGTTTGGTAGCTTGTGCATGATAGAAAGATACACGATGGTACATAATTATTATTTGGTCGACGTTCTCATCTTTTTTTTTCTCTCTATTTTTTTGTATCCTATCCTCATCCAATCCCAATGTCGGCTGATTTAGTGTTCGATGAGGAAGACACAACTACAGAAAGAGACAATGGCATCAAAAAAAACAGTATGCTATCATAATATTATATCCTATGATCGTCATCAAGGCTAACTAAATCATCACATCTTCAATTGATAAATTTTTCAAACACAAAGAATTCAACAGACCATAAAGAGGACGTTGTTTGTTTAAAAAAAACACGCACGCACACACATATACGATAGATATACACATAAAAAAAAAAGAGAGAACCAAATAAAGTGACAGTGAATATAACAAACAACACTGAAAAAAAAAGAACGAACCAAGCGCACATATTCAAAAAAGAGAGAGAGACAACACAAATGAATGAAAAATATGATCAGATCTATTTATTTAAATACATCTAATAATAATAATCGATTAATTCAATAGATATTTCTTTTCTTCTAAAATAAAAGTGCCTGTTTTTTTTTTGTATTTTCTTTAGTATATATTATATTCGTTTCTTTTTCTTTTATTTTCTTTTACTCTTCTTCTATGTACAATAAACATAAACTTAAAATTCGCGATCTTCCAAAAATTTATATTCAAATATAAAATTGTCTCGTTTACGTGTTTGCCATCGTTCATAATCAAAAAATATATATGTACCCTGAAAAATAAAACAAAATATCACAGTCTAATAATTATTCAAAAGAATAAAAATTCATTTTACTTGTTCATAATCATCTGTTATTGTTTTTGGTTCTTCATGTCGTTGAAACCACATCATATGTTTTGTATGAAAACGCCATGATTGTCGTTTTAATGCTTTAGCAGCTAAATATTGTGCACGACTTCCCTTGAAAAAAAAACAAACAACCAAAAATAAAAAATTTCAAAATTAAATATTTATTTTTCTTACTTCCATATAATAAAAAACAAAGAATAATGTATCTGGTGCTAAACGATAATAAAATTCTGGTGTATCAGAACCTGCTGGTGGTGTTTGAGGATAATATGGAATCATTTGCGAATGTCCAAGTGGACTTCGTCCATAAATACGATTCGCATTTGTTCTACAAAAAATCAAAAATAAATTTTTATTAATAAAAAAATAAAGAAAGAAAAAAAAAGAAAACCTTTGTCGTTCAGATTCTAATAATGATGGTAATTTTGCATAAGCTGAATTTAATCTATTAAGCATTCGTAATTCTGCTGGTGTTAATGGAACACGATTTGTTTGAATAGATTGTTGATTTGATGGTGATGCTAAATATCGAAATGTATGATGATCTGGTAAATGACCAATAACACTATTATTTGTTGATGTTAAATCATTTGAATTATTATTTGTTAGAAATGATGATGATGTTGTTATGGGTACTGCTGATGTGGTTGTTGTTGTTGTTGATGATGATGATGATAGTCCTGTATTGATTGTTGATAGATTTGGAAAAGTATTTGTATCAAGTAATGAATGTCCATCTGACGAACCATTAGTCATTAATGATGTTGATGGTGGATTCGTTGAACGATCATTATCGGATATTGTACGAGAAAGTAATGAAGATTGTTGAGAGTTAATTGTTGAATCAATATTAGTTGTTGATAATAAGTCAAGAGGAATGTTTGAAGCTGATAATGTTGGTCCTGAACCTGAATATAATGATGATGGAATTATTGTACCATTAGCTAATGTTATTGTTGATGACGATGTTGTTGAAGATGATGGATTTATTTGTGATATATTATTAAGAATCTGTTGATTCAATAAACCTTTGAACAAAAACGAGAAAAAAGAAAAAGAAAATTATTATTAATTCATTCCATTAAAAAAAGATTTAATCAAACATTATATGATGTTGTAACATTGATCCTAAGAAAAGACACTTTTGTAAATTTTTTTTTGCGTATTGATTAAGAAAAATTTTCTAATTCCGCACTCTTTTGTTTTCGATAGCAGAAGCTTTTTATTTTTGTACTCTGTATCCATAGGTCTTGTGATATAGAAAGCACTATCTTCTCCCTAATTTTTACGTTGTGTACTTGTGAAAATTTCGAGCTGTTGTCTGTTAAATTTTAAAAGATAGCTTTTCTTAGTCACTTATTGTTAGATAGACTATCTTCGAATGTATAACATTTGACTATTTGATAATTAGTCGCACCGTAAAATTAATTGCAATATTGGAATATAAAATCAGAAAAAAATCTCCTAGTATTATGGTAACAATAGCTAATAATGTATTTAAGTTACATATGAGTGTTTAGCTTCTATTTGCTTTAGTTTTCGTCGTTGCATAACATTTCGATAAAACTCAAAATATGAATGTCAGTACTGAATTACAGTCCAATAGCAAGAGTATATCATTTCATGGAGTAAGTCTTCATTTTTCACATACTTGCAAATGAAGATCTGCAGGAAGTAAAATAAGAACTATGCTTCCGTGAAACATGCAATCAATGCTACATGACGACTAATTGTCATAGCATCTATTCATCAATTTCTTCAAATTTGTAGCTCCTTCCATTGTGAAAGTTATTGCGAGTGTCGGACAGGCGAAAAACTTTCTTATAACTCTTGTCCTATTCTACCCTGAAGAATAGGATAGTCCTGTATACATCTAATTCATAGAGCTTACAAGATCATTAATGATTTTACTCTCATTCAAATGCAGAATAGATTTTCATTGAATAAATAACAAAAATTATACCAGTACGATCATTATTTGTTACTAATGAAGGTGGATGAGAACTATTTGATATTGTTGTTGTCGTTGATGATGATGGTATTGATTGACTTGAAGTTGTAGTTACTGTTGAATCATTATTATTTATTGATGTTTGTCTTGACATTTGTTTTGTTTGTGGTGAAAAAATATTTTGTTGTTTAGATGCTGAACTACTACTTGTTGGTGTTGATGGTATTGTATTTTGTGAAACAATTGTTGAATATTGTAAAACAGGTTGAGTTGTTGTTGTCGTTGGATATGTGAAATGTGTGGGTACACTTGCCGATAATACAGATGTTGGTGTTTTTGTTATTGAAGATTGTTGATGTAATATTGGATTTTTTGGTGAAGATCCATGAATAACATTTGTTGTTGAACTATTGGCACCTGAATTCGTTCTACATGATTATTGAAAATTAAATTATTAACAATAATAAAAAAAAACAAAAAAGAAAAGATAGAAGTTTTTTTTTTCAATTGAATACCGATTCCGTTGTGTTTGATTATCTTCAGATTCTGATTTATTTCGTTTTCTATCATCAGTTGTTGATATAGCTGGACTAGCAGTTGGTGAACTTGGTTGTGTTGATGATGGTGTTGTTAAACTTATAGCTGATTCATTATCACCATGATTTGAATTTGTAAAAAATGTTGTTGTACGTTCAGATCTATTCAACAATAAAAAATAAATTAGATTTTAAAAAGATCTAATTTAATTTTTACATATTATTTGTTGATGAATGTGAATGTAAATTTAATGTTGGTGTACTTAGATCGATTAGTGTTGATGTATTTGAATTTAAACTATTACTATTACCATTTGATAATGATGAAGGATGAGATTGTGTTATTGGTACAGCTATAACTGGTGCCATTATTGTTGTTAAATTATCCATATCAATTTCTTCATACATTAATTCATTTTCTTTAAAATCTGATTCTTGATTTGATTCTATATAATATTCAATATCGGCACGTAAATTATGTATTGGTTTAAGATCAAGTGCATCATTATCAATAGCACGTAGAATTTTTTCAAGTGATTCAATATGAAATTTATGTCTTTCAATTGAATGTTTTGTTTCCTCAAGACGTTCTAATTTCTAAAAAGATAATTAATTTTTATATTCGTTTATATTGGTATTGGGAAAATAAAACATATTCATAGAACAATCTATATTCTAACATCTTCTACTTATCATTATATAGTCTCATGAATGTTCAGAATATTTCAAAAGTTAGGCGTGAAATACAATTGAAATAACTCTCAAATGATTCAAGCGATCCACATAATCATGAAATCAAGTGTTTCAAAGCATTTCTAGAAAACCAATGTATAATGCTTGTTTTAGGCACATTATAACCTCAAAACAGATCAGAATGATCTCAGAACAAGCTTGATTTACATAGTTTCATTACTTAGAGTTGATGTCGATTATTTGAAACAATACTTACGGATGAAATAAAACCTTTGAGAATATCCTATGAAATGCTCATGTGTATGGATTGAATCATTTAAGAGTCATGATCGCTTCATTTCACATCTGTTTTTTGATTCACTCGATAGAATGATTTCGGTTGTTTTTTTTCTACATAATTTCATCCTAATATACTAAAAGCAATCATCCATATCGAAAACTATTTATCCTCGTATTTGTTAATCATATATTTAGACTCGTCGCACTGTACAAAAATTTCAACAATAAAAATAATGTTTGTTATTATATAATGAGCCTATATATGGCTTTTTCTATTGTAAATAAAGATTCATATTAGTTTAATAAAGTCTGTACTATCCAAAATGGTATTCTTATTTTTCAGTACACTGTTAGATAATAATTCGTATAGAATTTTACATCCATTTTTTCCTGTATACTAAAAAAATTTGATAATACTGTTTTTTTTTTCAAGAAAATTTGATGATATTTAAGTGAACAATTAATAAAGCAGAGATGAGTTCGATTCGATCCTATCTATGTAATAATCACATCTTTCTATTGTAAAACTTTATTACATGTTTATAACTTTTATCAAAGTAAAAATGAAATATAGGACGTTATTTATAACATCGAATAGTTTGCCATGTCTATGTGATATTTTTCTTATTTGTAAGTGTAAATAAATTTTGAATAAACTTACATCCTTGTCAGATTTTTTCTTCTTTAATGATGCAGATACTGTTTCAATGTCTGCTTCAAATTTATCAATTTGAATATTCAATTCATGTATGGATTCCTGAGAAAAAATAAGTTTATTTGTGTTTTGTTTTTTTTTTTTTTTTTTTTTTATTGAATAAAGAAGAATCGAAATTCTAATCTACCGTTATCCATTGAGTACATTCTTCTTTTTCTTTTTCTTGTGGATCAAGTTTTTGTCCTGCACCTAAACCTTCTTTACTATAAGCTTTTGTTTTAGTTTCTCGTTCAACAATTTTAAATTTTTCCATTTTCTAAAAATGCAAAAAAAAAATAACATATAAATAATTAAATTATTTTTTTGTTATATTAACAAACTTGTTCGATATTTTTTCTTGCTTCTTGTAATTGTTTTTTGTCTTTGATTTCTGTTGATGACATCCATACTTTAATTTGATCACGTAAACGTTGTAATTTTTTTATTTCTTTTTTTAATTCTTGTTCATATCGATCTTTTTGATTATGATTTGGTGCTGAATGAACCTATATTAAATTTAATTTTGTAAGAAATATGAAATAAGAATGTTTTTGTTTTGTTTTTTATCTACCTTTTGCCAAATATCATCAAATGTATCCACACCTTCCGTTACTTTTTTAAGGCAACGTTCAATTTCTCCTACAAACAAATGAACATCAAAAATTTTCTAATTATAATGTCAATATTTCAATAAAACATTTGTACCGTGTAGTTTTCTCCTATCGCCCATTGTAAATTATTGAATTTATTTTGTGTAATAATGAAAAATGAAACATAGAACAAGATCAATAAAAAAATGTATGTTTCTTGAAATTCGCTTGATAGTTAATTTCAATATTTTATTTTTATCTATAATAAATGAATAACATTAATTTTTTTTTAATTTGTTTTCTTTTTACCACAATAGACAATTCTGAAAAACGATGAAATAAATAAACAAAACAAAAAAAAAAAACATAAATGCTTATGCAGAATCGACGCGCCCGGTTGGACGACCGACAAACCGATCGGTCTGATGACTTGGTGACTCATCAAAGAAAACAACATACTATTTCTCAAATCAAAAACTAATATAACAGAGGTCGTAAGAAAGTGTGAAGTTCTATAATAAACGAATTATGATATTCACAATTGAAAAACATATGCCATTCATATATGTATAGTATTGATATTAGCTTGCATTTTCTTTTTAATATGACCTTGACTTTAAAATGTCATGGTTACCGAAAGTATTGTTTAATCAAACATATATAGATATGACTAAAGGAAATATCGACAGCATATGGTATACGTTGTTTAAAGAATAAATAGAAACAACAAAGTAGACAGAAAGAAGAATACATGGTGCTTATCGGCTATTTTGTTCTATGGAATGCTGCCTAGTAGCAGATTAGTTTGTTTGATATTTTCTCTACAACTAATACTAGCTGCAGCATTGAATAAAAGGCTGACTGGATGCAGAGTTCTTACGTGCAATTACTTGAAATTTTTTCACATACTGAGTGACAACATAGTAGCAACGAGGACAGGTGTATGTCATAACTTAGCCAGCATGCTATCGGATCAATGACATGAGACAAACAGTCGTTAGGGATTTAAGAACAAAGTATTCTCATGGATTAATTTTAAAATATGGTGAAATTTCTCTTACATGAACAGTATTGGGACTTTTGAAAAGTGTTTATCTATAGGAGATGTTATATATTTTACGATCAAACGAAAACAAAAAAGGATTTGGAAAATAAACTTCTTTACTATTTGTTTTTCAGTAACTAGAGATTATTCTTTGTGCTCTTCATATGAATATTTGATTAATATAAAACTTCGCTTTAATTCACAAAGTTCTGTACGATTGTTTTAGTCTCCATGTATGCAAATTTGATGAAACTTGCTGTATAATTTACCTAAATATGAGTTATCAAGTTTTATTGAGTCAAATTTTTTGGATTTTCGTTTAATACTTTTATTGTGATAATCATTTGAATATTCTTCTATTTCTTTTTTCTCGTTCTCAAATATTGAATATACAAACTAACGAGGGAACCTATCCAACTGATAACCTTCGTTTGACGTCATATTTTGCCCATAAGTAGGATCCAGTGAGATTAGACAAAGCCTAAAAGAATAAGTTCCATTAGGTCTTCCATCCAAAGTTACAGGGTGTCTCATAAGTTGTGGCAGATTTTTTTAAATCTAATTTTTGATGATAATGAATACAAATCAAACTCAAACTTACACGTATCATACAACTTAACATGTACTTTTATTTCATATATTTTATTTGAATTTAATCATTGGATATACAAAAAAATAAAGAAATTGGTACATGTGCAAAATAAGCACACCATCAATGTGTTACAATATATATACCCCGACAAAAGTTTCACTCTGTATTTCTCATATATTGTCACTATAAAAATAAGTTATTTTAAAACTAATTACATATTCTGAAAGCTCGCGGAGTTTTCTATCATTCTGTAGAATTAGGTTTTAGTTTTGACCTTTTCATTACCAAAATAAATTGAAGACAACGAAGGCACCCTCATGTCCAGATTCCCAGACTTGATCTTTCCTTCGTCATCAAAACTAGTTTTAAAAATTTTTCATCCGTATAGAATGATCTGTATGAAAAAGTAACTATAGATTCTGATAGAGCTTAAAATTCTCTATCACCCTGTCTATTTACTTATTTTCTTGCGTTTATAGATTGAAATAAAATTGAATACAATGAATATACTCCGAATCGACTAGCCCAAAAAATTTGCATTTTTTTTCGCTACTTAAATTTAAGACACTGTATTAATACATAATATCATAGAGCATTTCAAGTGCTATCAGAATGTGTGATTTCTTTTGTAAAAACTTACTCCCATAGGAATAGTAATTGGAGAAAAAACTAACAAAGTAGCGAAAAAATGCAGACTTTTGATATTTGTCAATGGAGGGTATGTTCATTGAATTTGTTTATTTTCTTGTATATTCAATGATCTAATCCAAATAAAATATATGAAATAAAAGTACATGCTAAGCCGTGTCATATGTATAAGTTTGAGTTTAATTTGTATTCATTATCATCAAAAATTAGATTTAAAAAAATCTGCCACAACTTATGAGACACCCTGTATAGTTGTTTTACTGAAATTGTAGCCTACGACAAGGTATGTATAGAAGAGTCGAATGACGATATTTCGACTTGAAATTTTGTCCATAGATAGGTCTACTTGTAACTAGAATGTTCTGGAAATTTCAGCTGAAAAGAATGTTCCCTTCATGAGATATTGCATTTCCAAAAATCACTTATATCCCACATAGATTCGACAATCTCATGTTTTTTTAGAAATGCAATATCTCATGAAGGGAACATTCTTTTCAGCTGAAATTTCCAGAACATTCTAGTTACAAGTAGGCCTATCTATGAACAAAATTTTAAGTCGAAATATCGTCATTCGATTTTTCTGTACATACCTTGTCGTCGGCTAAAATTTCAGTAAAACAACTATAACTTTGAGGGGGGAAGACCTAATGGCACTTATTCTTTTAGGCTTTGTCTAATCTCACTGGATCCTACTTATGGGCAAAATATGAGCTCAAACGAAGGTTATCAGTTGGATAGGTTTCCTCGTAAGTGAAATATTTGATTTTTCAGCTGATCCATATTGTCATGAACCATTATCACCGTTGTTATCATTAATTAATGAAATATTTCATTTAATATACGACATTGTAATAAGTGGCGAATACAGAAAACGCTGAAGAGGATGGTAGATGACAAAAATTTATAGACAGTTTTCGTGATGATTTTTCTATTATCAACTGTTCTAACACATGCTGCGGTTTATGAAAACAAAAAACAACTAAGAAACCAAACAACTAGAATTTTTAGCTTTTCTATTTTTTTGTCGAGAAGCTGTTGATGAGTTATTCGATATTAATCTCAATCAGGGAATACACATGCATCATAAATAGTTCATTCAGATGACTTTCACATCTAGTACTTTGAAGATATGGTTGTATCAACTGTACTGTTAAAATAACTTTGATCATCTGTGACTGTTGTTATCGATAGCATTGTATAAATTTGCAAAAGAAACCTTGATTATCGAGAAAAACGAGCACTAATGAACTATGTCAGCATGACCGATCGTTAGTTATTTCAACACTAAACTCTACAAACGCTTAACAGCTATCTGAGAAGAACAGAAGTTATATGGAAGAAGAGAAAGAATATTTAATACAAATAATAACACTACGTAGAGCATATATATACACATAAGCTATTACCCTACTCTTGAATCGTTTATTTTTGAATATAAACACTACAACTTTGAAATAGTAAGAAATACATACTATTTCGTCGTAAATCTCAAAGAAATCCAATGATACTTAGGATATAGTCAACATGAATTTCAAAAGGGAAAAGTGACTGTCACTTCATTCCTGAATTTGTCATGCGATTTACTGCCCATTGATTACATAAAAAATATATTCAAATTAGTTCTTTTCTTGTATGAGAATTTACTTTTCATTGATTATTTGGAAAAAGAGAAATCAGCAAATATGTAGTATGGGTCAGTATGAGGATCTCCACTTCAACGAAAAGTAAATACTCACACAAGAAAAGTGCTAATTGGAATAAATTTAAAAAGAACGAACAACAGTTTTAGTACAGTAGCAAGAAATTATGAAGCGAACAAACGAAAAAAAAAAATACACATGTTTCCATTTAGAAGAAGTAATAATAATCATTGGGAACTGTAATAACAATGTCTAAGATTAGGGGAAAGAACATAGGTACCAATGCAAGTTTCATTATACTTGTATTGTTCATGATTTGTTTCTATGAAATAGACAACATAAGATTAATTCATATCTTAAATCAAACTATTTATAATAAATATAATGATTGATTCGAAGCGATATATACAATATCATTATTAAGAGTATTTCTATTACTTCTAATTAAGTATTATTGCAGACGAATGGGACATAAAAATAAAATTTATACATCGCTATCAAAGCATCCATTTTAATGATCTATGATCAACATAATATTTCTTGTCATTTAATTGAAGTTGAAATCTATGGATATTATTACAAACATGAAACGATATTTTTAGATGTCAATAAAATAAACGTCTTTTTCTTTATTTTCTTCTATTGTATAACTTGAGCGCATCATTGTTCAACTTGTGATAGACAATTACAACAAGATCAACAGTTCTCTTCTCATTTGAATCATATCATTGATGTTTTTTTTTTTCGATAATTTTCATTCACCTTTCCAGACAAATAATTTTTACAATATTAATCAACTTTCTTTGACATTAGTACACATTTTTCATCTAACGGCTTACTATTAAGACAGGCAATACTCAAACAACTGTCTAGAAATTGTTAAGCTACTATAATTGAAAAGAAAACAGCAAAAGCAAAGTCACTATCTATTATGAAATTTCTCACATACTTCAAATGACCTATTTTTAAGACAGACTACTCATATTGTGACATGCCTGAATACAATTTATGGGCGGATGAAATTTGTCTCAATTATTGTTTTTGTTATTTTCATTTTTTCTAACGAACAATATCCGTTATATATATATATACATATGAACGAAAAATCTAAAAGAACAAATATTTTTGAAAACTTGTTAGACATTGTTGTTGTTGTATTTTCTCTAATTAACAAAGAAAAGAAAAATCGGTATAGATATATAACAATGTGTTAAC